GCAGGGGCGGAGCCAAAGGCTGAGGGGGCGGGGCTTGGGACAAGGGCGGAGCCAGTGGCTGAGGGGGCGGGGCCGGGAGCAGCAGGGCGGGGCCTGTGCGCGGAGGGGCCGCGTTCGTGACTTGGGGTGGGGCCAGGGCGCTGTGGGCGGGGTCCTCCGTTCCGTGCCCCGCCACGTTCCCGTCGTGCCCCTCGCCGCCTCTTCCCCCCCCCGCTCTGGGCCGCGATTGGCTCTCTGTGGCGCTCGGCGCGCGCAGCCGCGCCCGCCCCCGGTACCCGCGCGCCTCCCGCCCCGCCCCGCCCCGTGCGCGCGCGGCGATTGGCGGGCTCCGCCGGTCGCCCATTGGCCCCGCGGCGCGCGGCGCGCCGCCATTGGGCGGGCGCGGGCAGCGGTCCCGCCCCCCCGCGGCGCGGCGGGCACGGCGCGTGCGCGGAGCGGCCGGCGGTGGCGCGAGGCGATGGCGGCCGTGGGGACGATGGCGGCCATGGGCCCGCTGCCCGCCATGGGCGCGCTGCCGCCGCTGCCCACGCTCGGCGTGCCCGGAGTGCCCGAGCTCAAGCCGCTCACGCGCTACGAGGCCATGCGGCTCGGGCCCGGCTGGAGCCACTCGTGCCACGCGATGCTGTACGCGCCCAACCCGGGCATGCTGTTCGGCCGCATCCCGCTGCGCTACGCCGTGCTGGTGAGGGCCGGGCGGGGCCGGGCCGGGACCGGAGCCGGGGTCGGTTTCGGGAGCGGGGCCAGGAGGGTCCTCGGGCCGGGTCGGGGCGGACGGGGCTGAGCCGGGCCGCGGGTGCGGGGGCGGCGGGTGAGGGGGCGGCTCCGCGGGGGATCCGAGCAGGGTGGTAGCGTCAGGCCGCGCCCGAGCCCGGGCCCGCGGGCGGTGCGGAGAGCCGGGCAGGCGTCGCTGAGCGGTCCTGGATGCGCCGGAGTTGAAAGGGCCGCCCCGGAGCGCCCCCCGCGCTTCTCCGGCTCCTCCGGAGGCTCCTCGGCCCCCCCTCGCCCCCCGGCGGGGGCCCCGCCGTGCCCCATTAACACCCTGCGCCTCTATTGCAGATGCAGATGCGATTTGACGGACTGCTGGGCTTTCCCGGGGGGTTCGTGGATCGCCGTTACTGGTCCCTGGAGGACGGTCTGAATCGGGTGCTGGGCTTGGGTTTGGGCTGTGTGCGCCTGACGGAAGCTGACTATCTGTGCTCGCACCTGACAGAGGGGCCACACCGCGTGGTCGCGCACTTCTACGCCAGGCAGCTCACCCTGGAGGAGCTGCACACCATCGAGATCAGCGCGGTGCATTCCCGAGACCACGGGATGGAGGTGGGACACCCGGGAGGGGTGTGCGAGCTCTCACTTAGCCCAGGGAAGGCGCCGCTTCCTCCTGGGTCTGCCGGGCGGCCCTGGCCAGCCCGGCCGGGGAATGCACCGCAGGTAGAACTGCCGGGGGCCGGTGCCAGCACCGCCCGAGGCATCGGCGATAGGAGCCGGCCAGGGTCGCGCCGTGGGCTCTGGAGCGCAGGGAGCTCCAACTCCAGCCTTTCCCGGGGCCTGCCCGTGCAGGGATGAGCCCGTGTCACCCTCGGCCAAGCGATGTGGCCAAGAGCCGTTTGCAGCTGGGGGGGATCCCCCTGCCCTGGGCTGAGTGCCCTGGACTGGACCGTGACTGCCGTGTGGTGATGTCGCTGTGAGCCGAGTCCTCCCCGGCCCGCATGGGGGTCGTGCGGGGGCACCTTCCTCCTCCTCCTCCTCCTCCTCCTTCTCCTCTTCCTCCTCCCGGGCAGCTGAGTGTGGCTGAAGCCCCGGGGCAGTGTGAGAGACCCAGGGCCTCCCCCTGCGCCCCCGGGCGCTCGGTGGGTGTCGAAGCCGCGTGAGCAGAGCCAGAGGGCACTGGGTTGTGGCCTGGGCAAGGGGACGCGGGGCAGCTGTGGTGTCCCCACACGGGGCAGGGGCTGGAGGGGGAAGGGAGACTCCCCGTAGTGGCCTGGGGCAGCGGGATCCCCCTCAAAGGGGCAGGATGGGGGAACAGAGCCAGGGCTGGGACAGAGGGCTGGGCAGGGAGAGCAGGGCCATGGCTGGGGGAGCTCGGGAAGGGGCAACACTGGGGCTGAGCTGGGCTGAGGGCAGGGAAGGGCAGGGGTCGGTGTGGAGGGAAGGCAGGAGCTGGCAGTGTGGCAGGGCGGGCCTGGGCCGTGGGCTGGCGGGCACTGGGTGAGGGTGTGGGGAAAGGGGGGCGCGGGGAGGGGGGGCTGGTGCTGCCGTGGCCCTGCTGAGCAGTGCCCTGTGCCTTTGCAGGTGATGGGCATGGTCCGGGTCCCCCTCTACACCCAGAAGGACCGCATGGGCGGGCTGCCCAACTTCCTGGCCAACTCCTTCGTTGGAACAGCCAAGTTCCAGCTGCTGTTCGCCCTGAAGATCCTGAACATGGTGCCGGAGGAGAAGCTGGCCGAGGCGGTGGCCGCCACGCAGAAGCCGAAGAAGGCGGCCATCGACCACGCGGGAGGGGCGGCGGGACACCTGCACGGCCACAAGGCGGGCAACGAGCTGGGCAAAGCGGGCAACGAGCTGGCGGAGCGGGCAGAGCACCCAGGCGCGGCGCAGGCGGGGGCCGAGCAGCTGGCGGGGCTGGAGGGCCAGGCCCTGGCGGAGCAGCTGGCGGGGGCAGAGGCGCTGGAGCAGCAGGCGGGGCTGGGGGCCGACACCGTGGCAGAGCAGCCGGTGGGCGAGGCGATGGAGTGACCCCACCGTGTGCGCGCTCCAGTAAAAGTGGGTGAGCCGAGAGACTTCTACCTTTCTGACCCGGGGCTGCAGTGGCTGCCCACGCGACCCCACTGCCCAGCCGGGAGGGTCTGGGTTTGTCTGAAGCAGGGAAAAGCGATTTATTTTTATGGCCATTAAACTCTTAGCGAGCTTCCCAGATCAACCTGCACAGCCCCTGCAGAGAGTTCATGTGCTTACGTGAGGGCGCCGGAGCCTTAGAATTATGCTTTGATTTCAGGGACACGCTGCCGCTGTCAGGTCCCCCTTTCGTTTTTAAGGAACAAAACATCTGATTTTTTAAATGCCCCGTGTTGACTCGGCTGCTGGCAACGGCCACAGCTGAGGGACGGGGCTGCAGGTCAAGCACCTCTGCCCATGTCAGCGACCAGGCCCCGCTCAGGGTGCCGGTGCAACAGAGCAGCTGTGCCATGAATTCCCTCTGGGGCGTTAGGGGTGCTCATGTGGGGCCCTACCTGGAGATCTGTGGGAGCAGGAAAGTGGAATAAATGGCTTTGCTGAAAGTTTAGCACTTGGGATCGTTCTTGAAGGTCGAGGCTGAGCCTGGGGGACCCAAAGCTTGGCGGGGGGAAGGTAGGGGTGGGAGGGAACAGCATCCATCAGCTCCTGCTGCCACAAGGGTTTGTCCTCTGGACTGTGCCAGGGCCAGAGGCAAAGGACAAGGCTGCTGGTGGCAGCCCCTTGGGTCAGGGGGCTGTGGGGTGGCTCAGGTGCTGCCCCGCTGCAGCTCTTGAGGTTTTGGGTTAGTCCAGACTGGCTCATGCACCCCAGGGCTCCAGGCAGGAACCATTTGTGCCATTGCAGATGCTGAAGCACCTCCTGGGCACTGGCTGTGCCTGAGGGGCCTTTGTCCCAGCTGAAATGTGGGGCAGCCAGCAAGGAGCCCCAGTCCCTGTGGGGCTCAGGAGAATCCTCCACCCACCACTGGAAGGGCAGGCTCAGTGCTGGAGGAGCTGCTCCCTCTGCCCTGTCCCCCCCTCTGCCTGCTCCAGGCTGATCCCTGTCTTGGCATGGCAGCAGCTCCCCCAGGATCCCCCCAGCCCCCGGGAGGAGGGTCTGTGGGCACCGCCAGCACAAGGTCGGGGCCAGAGCAGTCAGTTGGTTCCTGTGCAGGGACAGACAACTCAGAAAAGAGGTTTGGTTTAATTGAAGATATTTAGCGAGAGGCTCTTCAATAAATAATGGGCTGCAAAGTGGGGACAGGGCTAATGCCCCGGGACAGGGTGGCAGGAGGGCACAGACCAGTCACAGCTCCCCTGGGGATGTGCACCAGTGCTGCCGCAGTGGAGTGGGGTTGTGTAGGGGGAGGAGAGGAAGGGGACACACACACACACTTCAGTGCCAGGCACTCAGGAGAGAACGAGCTTCATTCTGGTCCAGAGAAAGCAAATGCTGAGGAAAACCAAGGGCCTAAAGAACCTCTAAACCAACAGATGTGTTTAAGTAAAAAGTGGATAAGTGAAAATATCCCAGACTGAAAAGTGGTAACACAACTGAGGGTGTTGTGGAATTGAGGCTGGAAGGTGCATCAGGGGCCCTGGGAAAGCTCTGGGGCTGGAAGGGGTCACTGTGCCCCTGCCCCTTCTGCTGCTGTGGGCAGCTGGGCTGGGGGAGGAGCATTCTGCCCAGTGCCACTGACACCAGCTTGGCTCCTCACAAACACTTTTTTACCTTGTGT